TTAGCGCGAGCTTTGAAGCATCAGAACTGTTCCCACATGGAATAACCTTTCTTTGAGTATCTATTGCCACAGGTTCACGATAATCCAAGCGAAACTCCTTTTATCGAGAGTATTCTTGGGTACCCCCCAAGATGTAATTAACCAAGGGGGATATGTCCCCTTGGGAATGCTCTTGACCTCAAAACAGGCACCTACACCTGACTCTCTGGTTTTGGGCAGTCTACGTAGATATTCTTTCGCGAATATCGGTTTAAAGTGTTTTTGCCCGATCTTATTTGGGCAGACACTCTTAACCTATCCTTGCGAGGTTTGATGTTAAGGGCTTTGTTTTGTTGTTTCTTTGATGCCTTCTACGTTCCAAATGAATGAACAACTGAAATTTGGTTTCTAAGACATTTGTAGTTGTTTTGAGTCTTGTTTTTGCTCCTTACAGCTGCTGCCCCTATTCAAAAGAATGTTGGAATCTGTTTAGATTTTAAAGAATTTAATTTCAGATGCTTGGTTTTATCTCTTGATATTTCCTCTATTCATATATATGTTGTAGCCTGTTTTAATATTTTAAGAAGTTAGTTTTCTGGTTCGATTTTAGCTTCCTGTGGCTGTCTTCTTGGCTCGAACTCCATGTCGGGTGAAAATTTAATTTTGTAGACCTCTTGGGGGCCTATTTTGAGGTCTGGACCTAACTCCAAGTTACGGTTTACGTATTCGAAATGCATAATATATGGAATATTGATTTAGGGCTTGATTTTTGGTTCTGCAGGTGATTTTATTTGATTTTTGGAGCTTTGAGAAAGCTAGTTTTTGGGGCCTTGTGTTGCTCCCATTGGTTGTCCCTGGCCGTAAGCCTCCACGCCTTGGTTCTTTGATTCCCTGTTGCTTGCTCCTACCCATGAGCATCCCTACTGTGGTTCCTTTTGTGTTGTTGGTTGGTGGCCTTGCCTGTGTTGCTGTCCTTGGCCATGAGCCTACTTGTAATCCTATTATAATTTTAATATGGGCTCAGTTTGCCCTCCTTTGTGCCTTTGCCCGTCGATTTCCTCTCGGTGCTCTTGGTCCCTCCTTGGTGCCTTGCCGTGAGCTGGGCTTAGGTGGGCTTCTCTTGTTACCCTTACCCGTGAGCCTATTTTGGGTGGTTTTCCTTGCTGCCCCGTTCATGAGTACTTACGTGCGATCCTTTGGATGGTGTGGGGTTCATGTGGAATTGGAATTCTTCTAATTTGATGCGAAATTAAATATTTTGATGTTGGTGAAATAAAATTTGTCAATTCTTAATGTTTAAAAGAATTCAAAATGCTCTTTTTCAAGGAATGATCTGTTAGATCATTTGCAATAAAAAAAAGGAGAGAAAGAAAAAAAAAGAAAGAAGAGAAGACAAAGAAAGGATAAATAATTTTCGGATATTTGAAATGATTGGGAATTTTCTAAGTTGTATCTTTTGGAGATGTTTCATGGCTAGCAGAGGAAGTGTATTTCACCTCTTTTACTCATTCGAGAAAGTCCCTCCATTCGAATGTTTTAGGCTAACCCTCTTATCACCTTGGTATTTTCTTTTCTAAATTTGTTTTGGAAGAGTGTTGGTTTTCTTTCTCTTTCATTTCTTGATTTTTTGTTTGCTTTCTTTGCTTCTTGGTTTAGGTTTTTTGTGCTTATGTCCGATGCATAAGCACACATATATAACATTTTGCTATATATGAACCATCAAGTAGGGTCACAAGTAAGTCGGTTTTGTTTTGGGGTTTAGGGCGGTGATGACAAAGACACACGGTGATAGAGTAAAATGATATTCCATCCTACGACATCAGGACCCAATCCTGTGACCTGATGAACTGTAGGATGATATTATCATTCACCGTCACAGGACTAGTGGACGACCCGTACCTTCTCAGGTTGTTGGCGGTCCTACGCCCGACGACGTGATTGACTCGTGGACAATCATAATTTTTCAAAATTGATAGGAACAGAACATGATAAGAGCTGATATAATATTTATAAAAAATATTTTTACTACAAAATTGATACAACTTCCTTTTGTATGCCTGAAATTTATGTGTATGCTAAAATATAAAATTTAAATGTATTGCAACTTGATTTTCCACTTGTCGATTATCAGAAAGGGCTAAGGAGTACTCTCCCAAGTAAGGTTTAGTAGGACACCCTTCTAGTTGAGTGGCAGACTATATACATCCGAGTGACCGATAGTAGCCTTTGACGCCCCTCGAGTATAAATATATAGTATCTGAGCCTAGCCCCGACCCGAGTGCTTGCGGTTTTTCTTTCTTCGGATTTTTTCGTGTGATTTTATTGGAACTTTTGATAAAACACTCGTGGTCTTTTTCCGGGATCTTCCCTTCGAGATTTCTGTCGTGAGTCATTTGTCGATTTTCTCGAGTTTTCTTATGTCATGGGTCATTTGCAGCTCTTTCTTGAATTTTTCAGGTGGTATTTCTTTTGTTGATACAATGCATGTTAGTTCATTTCTTAAATTTTGTTACTATACTTACACCTGCTACTGAATCTTTTACACACTATACCTTAGAGTAGGAGGTCAGTAGTTGGTTTCATAGGAGGTACCCGACAGCAGATCGTTGACTAAACAATTGCATGTAAACAATTGCATAACACCGAATCCGAAGGTGCTACGACGGGGAGCTTGGAGCGAACACCGTAGGCAACACGACGATGACACACAGAAGAGCAACTTACACGACGATGACACACAGAAGAGAGAAGAGCAACTTCGAGATGGATCTGCAATATTAAAACAAGTTCACGTCAAATGAGCATTTTTTTTTTTAATTTAAATAATAATTTATAGGACTTCGAGGTGGTTTTCTTAACGCAACATAAATCCTCACATATTATCTTTAGGCTTTTGTACAACCTTGTTGTACAATTATAAGTCCTAACACTTTTAGGATTTCGAGGTTACCGTACGGTACGGTGTAAATTCTCCTATCTTTATAAGTCATTTGTACGATCAGATGTCATGCGAATGTAAGTCCTAAATTCTAAAAAGAAATTGCAGGATTAAACATTGAATAACATTATTTCAAAGACATAAAGCCAAATAATAAAATAGTTGGGAAATCATCAAGGTTTTCCCTGGATCTGTGATATCCCTTACTCTTCATTCCTTTCAATTCCTTAAAAATAATTGTTCCTATTTGAGTCATTCTCATTTGATTTTCCCATGTCCGATCTTAAAAGCCTAAACTTTGAAATCTGGAATGTAAAATCACTGATCTTAATCGAGAGTCATTTAAGGTGTAATTAACTATAGGGGCTTGCCTTTATAAGGAACTTGAAACCCAGGTAAAATAAATCTTATCTAATCCTTATATTAGGTAGGAGAACTTGTTGGTCATACATAAAAAGTTTTGCAGACCAAACGGATGTCACAAACTTCTTAGTTTAGGTGGTAGAGCCTACTGTTAAGTGGTATGTTTATCCTTCAGAATAGTGTTTTACTTGTGGTATCACGCTCAACCGTCCAAACTATTTAATATATGAGACTCGTTTGGTCTCATCTATTTTTAAATTAAAATCTATTTTTAAATAATGTTACTTTCAAAAATCATATTTATATTAAAACTATTTTCATATTTACAAAAATCATTTCTTTTCAAAAATAACGGCTGACAACATATCACAACATTAAGCTATGATTAGTTAAGAGAGATTGAAGGCCCATGACTTCCATGGTTGTTGAATTTTTGCCAAAGAGGTGTTTGATTTGGGTTGATGGAGAGTTTCAGCTGGGATTGATGATATCGATGGAGAAGGAACATAACAATGGTCAAGGAGTTGTGAAGCCACAACCTAATGTAGTAACATTGGAGGGTTAACAAAGAGAAGCAGTGTACGTATATTAGGGAATGAGGGTAGAAATTATTGGTTTTGATTTATATTTTTAGAGTTTTGTTATTTAATTAAGTGCTAAATGAATGCCGGAGCCAACAACAGAACAAGGGATTCGGAAAAGATTAGACATTGACTTTAAATAAAATTTAATTAGTCAAAAAATGAAAATTTATGAGTTTTTGATTCAGTGCATTTTCTCTTCATTCGTGCACATTGAATTTATGTTGCAGCTTTTGCATGCAGGTGATTTTTTTACAATTTTTCCGTAATTAGGAAAATATGAGTGTCATTTCTAGATAATTCTGACGTTCTAAAAAACATCAGCATAATCTTTCGAAAAGAGGCCAATGGTTGAGTGACTTTGATGCATGCAATGGGTTTTTGAGCTGAACTTGTGCAATATAGAATCCATTAAATATCATTTTTTTCTGTTCAATTTGATTGAATTCCAAAGCAGGCATGAGGTCAACAAATATAATTCATATCATTAAAAAAATGAATTAACCATCAAAATTTGCATCTGCACAAAAAATTTTAATGAAAATCAGCGGAACATAGAGTTACCAAAACAATCTAAAATGTAATTTCCCAAGGTTACAATCAAATCATAGAAACCAAGGATACAAATTCAATGATTAAAGAAGCACAAAAGAAGTTAAAATTGGTAGCGATGACACATGATACTGATCAAAACCCAACCCAACTAATAATAAAATTGAAAAATGAGTTGGCAATTAATAGATTTAAATGCCTTGTAGAAGAAGATCGAGTGCATTATCAGTACTAACACCTTGAAGCACATCAACAAACTACAGAGCGATAATATACAAAACAGTTCATGTTACTTACAATTTTGCACAAGAGCACCATTTTTTGTTAAGGGTTTACAGACATAATCCAATAGCTCAATGAAAAGTTCAAATAAGCTAATATGAAATGATTTATTGTAACGTATTAACTAAAGTTTTCTCATTTAAGTTCCACGGAATATTAGCTGCAACAGTAGAAGACAATAAACATTATTAAACTGGCCTTGACAGAGCAAAAGAGTGACTAAAAACATGAGTAAGTTCAACATGGTTTTGAATGAAAGAGGCATATTTCTCAGAGAGAAACAGTGAAGATTAATGATATAATACCTGGAAAACTCTTCAGCTCTGTTGTACAATTTCCATGAAAAAGTGAGAAAACGTCAATGGAACATAAAAGTCACCTAGCTATTGACTTATTTCCAATAATGAGATTACCTTATTTTCTCATGAAATAGGATAGCATTGTCCTCTTCTGAGCCTACAAACTGTAGGAGACATAAATTTTAACCATTTCATATTAAAAATAATTATATAGTTGGAGCGGGAATATATAAGCTTTTTTCCAAAGATTAAAAAGATAATACCAGATCAGCATAATGATGCTTGCTTGATGTAATGGGTCTAGATAAACGGGTCAGCTTGATTAGCAACCTTGATTTACATTGTCTTTTGTACTCAGTCTCCTCAATATGCAGCTCAATTTTAGGAGGAAGTGATAACAGGGATTCTTTTATATGGTTACCAAATGGATACTTGCGGCCTGTTATTAGTTCAATTCTTCTTGGATCAGCTTCAAACATTGTGTCAAATGAATTAATTCCTGCAGAATGAAGCGCCTAAGGACAGAATTAAGGATATTAGATACCTTCCTGTTAGAGAGGTAGACTAAATGAAAATTGAGATATGAAACCTTTGCCGTGACCATCCCAATGCCAGGAAGTTGTTTCAGCAAGTAGGGACTATCTTCCCAAAGCCTCTGGTGCAAACATTTGGAAAGAAGTGAAGAATTCAATGCTCCCTTGTAACTCCTCCTAAAGATAAAACATTCTTTCATGCATTTGGCAATCCTGCAGCCATTGGTGCAAATTGAGTTCATGTCCTGTGAAAATTATCACGCCTTATTTAGGAATTATTAGAACTCACAACATTCTGGCTACTAATAAAACGTAGTAGAAAGTGAGACCTGGCTGAGGGATAAATCACGGACTGAAGGATCACCAGTCAAGCAGTCATTAGTCAGCACAAATATCTTTTCCTCTCTTGTCTGGATGCGTTTCTTTTTTTTCCCTTTCTCTCCATAGACATGAAAGCGCATTCGATCTTCTTTATCAAAGTTAATATCATTCAAAATCTTCTTCTCATTGCGCCGCAACTGAATCCCTATATTTTTTAAAACATAATATCCTTATTTAAAACATATGAGCAATAGCGCTAACTAATAGCAAGGAAAACATACAAGAAATTTCTTCGGAAGCACAAATAATACGCAGGGCATCTTCTAAACTGCAACTTCCAGGAGCTTCCATGATACTTTTCATTGTAGCAAATTTCAGATAAAATTTTGTCATTAACCTTCCAGGTTCTGCATTGAATAAAAGTCGAGAAACGAGTAAAGAAGAAATATACAAGTCCTAAAAGAAGACAACATTAATATTTTTAAACATCTTACCTAATGGCTTAACAAGGAAACCATCTTCATCTGTCCAAATCATCCCGTATTCTGCTAGTTCATTAATATTCTGAACACATATTTCTGGAAATAAGAGACAAAAAATATAAAATAGGCCAAAAATTATACATCATGAAAGGATAAAAATGTTTTAACTTCTTCAAAGGACCTTTCATGTACTTCTCTAGGTCTTGACGAGGAATTTCTCTCTTTATTCCATAGTTCTCAGGATTCTGTACATGTTTTTTTTCAGATCAGTACCCAGACTAAACAAATGAAACTGAGAGTAAACATATATATAAAAAAATTCTGCCTTCTTAATCCGAACATATAAGTAGGAACATTTTAGCCACTCAATGGCCAAACTTATGTCCGCAACTGTCAGCTGAACAATCTCAGCCGTAAGATGTTCCATTACACATGGCAGTAACCTGGCATGTATCGATACATTATTGCAGCAAAACAGAAAGTGCAGAAAAGTTTCACTGAGATTACTAATAGTGTAACAAGCTTACTGAGATTCAACCATTTCACAACCGTTTAAGAGATTTTCATACAAATGGACCTGTAGAAATGAGAAAGAATATAAAAAAACAGTTGCATAACATCCATAAAATCCAGTAGCTTCAATTTATTCAGACGGTAAGAAAAATTTTAAAATTGAACTTACTGTTGCTCGCCTGGTCATTATTATAACAACTCCAGTATCATCAAATGGTGGACGGCCAGCCCTTCCACACATCTGCAAATCCTCAATATGCATACAAGTCAGAGTTTTATTAAAGTTCAAACTTAGAGAGCAAACACATCGATTCTAGCCTGTATTTAAGGCAAAGGTATAATTGCATCAAATCAAAGAGATGATAATACGAACAATATTGGAAGCCCCTTTCTTACAAGAGGCAGAAATTAGCCATGACAAAGGTGATGATCATGATCCCAGAATTAGATGGAAAATGTACAAAATTACAATTATATCTTCTATTTCCCTCCCTCAAAATTATATATCATTCAAGTTATGTTTCCTGTTAGATCAGCAGTAAAAATGAATTTATCTTTCACAAACTAATTTTATTTTAGAAGCCTTAAAACTTGAGGCTCTTGAATCTTTTAAGTCCTCCAAAAAGAAAAAAAATTGATATAATGCTGTGAACATGAATCGAGTTGTCCACTCATGCAGCAATTGAAATCAAAATGTAAGTGACGCTAATTAATGAATCAGAAAATAGTTTTCGACAAATATTAAATTCGACATGGTAGCAAAATCCCATGGATGACTCATCATTAGATCAACCAACCACAAACTTCGACCACCAGCATAAATGTAAGAAGAAACAAAAACGGTTAAACAAGCCCCAAGCAAGTTAGTCAGATCTCCAATTAAAATAATCTAGGATGAAAAAGTGACCCAAATTGGTTTCCATTCCCATCCCTTGCCCTTCAAAATGGCAAATCATCGACCACTATTCTCGTCACCAATAGTAGGGATCATTTGGCTGGAAAATGAGCCCAGAAAGCGTGCTCATCCCTATCAAAACTCTCTTGGAGATACCCATCAAGCTAATAAAAGCCAGTGGTGGTGATCTAGGCAAGTTGGTGACCGAGGAAATTTTGTAACCTCAGCTATCCAACATGATTTAAGTCACTTCTCACATTGGTCCTTATAAGAGTATTACTGTCTTTGGTTGTCAACCAGGACTAGCGTTTACATCAGCTAAACATTAAAAATATATTTCCTGATTGGAATCTCAAGGAATAAATGTCTATGGAGATACTTCCAAGATTAAAGAACAACATAAATAATCAGCTAGAGTGCAAACTAAGGAAATCATTATATGGGTTGCAACAATCTCCCAGAGCATGGTTTGAAAAGATCACAAGGAATATTCTTGCCAATGGGTATTATCAATGTCAGACTGATCAGACTTTGATTGTGAAACCAAATCAAGAAGTTATGGTAGTCATGTTTATTGTGTATGTAAATGACCTTATTCTTACTGACAATGACGTAAAGAAACTTGAAACAATAAAAAAAATAATGACTTTTAAGTTTAAGATAAAAATTTTGAAACTTTAAGATACTTCTCAAAAATAAAAGTAGCCAGATCCAAAGAAGATATTGTTATATCCTAGAGAACATATATCGTTGACTTATTAAAGAAGATGGGAATGTTGGGGTGCAAACCAATAGATATTCTTATGAATCAAATCAACGAGCATCAAAGGAGAGAATAACAAGCCCGTTCATAAAGGAATGTATCAAAGACTTATGGGGAAACTCATTTATATATCACATATGAGATACATTGCTTTTTCTGTGGGCGATAAGCCAACATATGAACGATCCAAATAAAGATCATCTAGAAACGATCTTTTGAATTCTAATGTACCTAAAGATGACTCCAAGATGTGGATTGATATTCAAAAAAATTGAGAATTGCGATATTGAGATCTACAATGATGTTAGCTGGGCGAGAGAAACGATTGGCGTAAGATCTATCAAGGGTTATTGTTCATTTGTATGGAGAAACGTGATTATTTAGAGAAGTACAAAGCAAGTTGTTGTGGCAATAAGTAATGTAGAATATGACTATCGTGCCCTGACTATAGGAATTTATGAAGTGATATGTTTAGAGAAATTACTAGTGGAACTTCACATGGAGAACAAAAGCACTATTAAGATGTTCAGTGATAATCAATCAACCATCAATATTTCAAAGAATTTGTTACACCATGATCAAACCAAACATATAGAAACTGATAGGCACTTCATCTCTAAGCGGTCAACGGAGGGGTTGTCCAGCTAAGCTATATCCCAACTCATTATTAGAAGGCTCTTCCTCAACACCACTTTAATGATCTCAACGGAAAATTTGGGACGTATGACATATACAACCCAACTTGAGGGGGGTGTTGATATGCATACAACTGTGGACCAGATGAGCCCACCCACGGTTTATTATACCGTGAGTCCACTATTACATTTGACAAGGAGAAATTATTCTCCCTTAATCACCATTATTATGTTTTTTATTACTTTTCTTTGTTATCGTGTTGATTTGAATTTCCCTCCAATTGTAGAGGGTTAGTCTGATGTGTATATATATTTGTTATTTATTTAATGAGAAGATTGAAGCATTTTTCCTCCTAATATTCATGGGAATTATCTAAAGCTGAATTTCATTTCAACAATGAACATATACAAAGAAGTTTGAAAATTTAAATTCATCATATTCAGCTACTACTTGAAATTTGATTCAATGGTTTAGTCCTCCGGTACATTGATCTCGATAGTAATGGTTCATGATTTAAGATCTGATTGCACCTATGTAATCCTAGCAAAATCTTCTTCAACCTTCACATGAGTTGAGAATCACTAACTTCGGGTGGGGCAGGTTCTAGTGGTCATAGGCAATCGTATTGAACTCCTACTAGATTTGATCCCTATATTACTTGCATGCAAATTCAGGCATCACACTATTGGTTGTACTCAAGCTAATCGGTATGTGGATGTTTCTAATGCACTAAAACCATCCACAGGGCATTGATGTAGCTTGCAATCATGCTGATAGTCTTCAAAGATAACTCTCATCAGTAGCCAAGTGCAAGCAAAACAAAAAAATAAATGCATGAACTTTTATAAATGATCACTATAGGACAAGAAAAACGCTTCAGTTTTTGCAGCTAAAATACAAATACAATCCTTATGATGTATTGACAGGAAATTGTATAGGATTGTTTTATTAGAATAATAACCATCTACCACCACAATCTCAGCCTACCGGTATCAAAATGTTAATTTAAAAAAAAATCAAAAAGTTCAACAGAAAAAAGTAGCAAAGGTAAGCAAAAATAAATTTATGCCACACCTGCAATACCATAGATCGATCATATTCCAGGTAGAGGCCCTTTTCCTTATTGCTGTAAAAGGAAAAAAAAATGAAAAGTTGGATGTCGCACAAACATATATCAAAGTACAAAAGGATTTAGGCCTTGAATACAATAGTATACAAATATTGAGTTGATTTAATCACTACTGTGTGCGCAGGTAAGTTAACTCCATGTGCAAGAGTATTTGTCGTGCAAAGAACTTGAAGATCCCCCTTCAGAAAAAGACCCTCAATGAGATTCCGATCTTTGAGGCAAAGCCCTCCATTGTGGAAACCAACTAGGAAATATAGAAAATTATAATTAGTAAGCACAGAAACCTGCAGACAAATAATCTTGCAAGGATCCATTTCATCATGCTAACCAAAAACAGGAAGATATCAAGTGCAAATGCACATGAAAAGGACATTAATTTATTTTCAAATGTTATAAGAGCACATAAAACATATAATGTTCTTACCACCATTGAGAATACAAAACTGCATTTGTTTGTCACCACAAGATACAGAGGCCTCCTTTAGTTTTTCCTGTTGCTCTTTCGATCTTATGAAAGGATTTGAATGTCCAAGGCTTGATACAACCTGAGAGAGTTGTTGTGCTGCTTCTTGTGCTCCTTTACGTGTCGAGCAGAATATAAGTGCAGATTTTCCTCTTGAATGTTGCATGAGGATATCTGCAATTCATCTTTTTAAGAACTTGGTCTAATAATGACAAACAAACAGAAAAAAAAAGCATAAATCTTCAAGGAATTTCAACAATGCGCTTACCAAAAACAAAGTTTTGAAGACGCTGCATTTTAGACAACAGGATTTAGTTAGGATAGCAAAGAACAAATGAACTCCGTTACTTGTTTATAAAAAAAAAGCAAACTTTCTTAATCACATGAATAAATTTTACCATGCTAGCCTCCAAACCTGACTAGCAGCCACTATAAGTATACCAGAAATACCTTTTCAAATAGGAAATCATTCTTAGCCGGAGCATAGCCTGAAAACAAAGAGTTAAAATGCTCAAACAGGCAGTCAAATACATTGCCTAGGGCGCACAAAAAAGCTGAAGCAAACCACCCTTTGATAATAAAAGTACCAGTTTTAAACCAATAAATAAAAATAAAAATAACAACAATAATAATAGGTACTAAACGCAAAAGAGAAAATAAAAAATTTCACGATTAGTTAATCTCAATTTTACAATATCAATTAGGACTGAAGTTAGTAAAACTTAGTAGTTTCAACATGGAACATCAAAATGAAGTTTAGTTATCGTGGTCCCATCAAAATCTCAATTGTACAATTTTAGACATGCATATTAAGTACAAGAATTTATGGGAAAGTGAAAATTCAAGGAGCCACGGGCCCTAGGCATATTAGAAGTACAGCCAATTGTTTGGAGAGTGGTTTGAGTAGGCCACCTGGAGTTTAGTGTCTAGGTAAGTTACCAAAGCATTTGTGACAAGAGGCATGTGTTAGAGTTGTATTGAGAGAGGCCCTAGCATCATTATTCAACTGCAATGCATATCTCGTTGTCACAAGATAGGACGGTTACTCGATGACAAGACCAATGAACGAAAAGTAAAAGTAAATTGACACTTCCCCCTATAAAAGAAGGCATCCAGCTGGCAATTATAGCCCCTCCTCAAAAGTAATATTTAGTGAATGGATTCAAATGGATTTTTCATCATAAATGCTAAAGTCTTAAAAGGTGTGGATTCTATGTTGACAATGTTTATAGAAAAAACTTATCAGTCTTGTACTTGCACGATGCTAACTTTTCACACATGATCCGTGAGTGCCAAGAACGAAGCACATGGAGAAAAGATGATTAGGTTCTTCTGAGATATCTATTCCGAGGTAAGGGAAAGCATTGCCTGAAGGTTGCTCAAGTGGCCACTAGTATGGCCCCTCAATAACTTTGAATGTATGCCTACCATCAAGCACTGGTGTACCTCCAGGCTCAGCTCCACGTCTAGGATGTGAGCCATTAACAATTAGAGTGGCTGGCTTGCATCAACCAAGTTGTTCCGAGAGGGGCTGGCTTGCATCAACCAAGGTGTTCCAAGAGGGGAGCTTGAGTGTGTCTTCTTATCCTTCGGTTTCATTACGGTTGTGCTCCCTTTCGTTTCTCCAACAACAAAAACCATCAACGTTAACCATTCTCTGGATTATGAGAGCAAGTCCTGAGGGAATGGGAGCTCCTCCTATGTGTCTTGGTCTTCTGCTGGGCTAGCAAATAGTATCAAACTTCCTTATAGTGATAGATTGGTGTTTCTCATACAACTTTGGCCAGACAAATATTGGATGACTGGAGCAATGATGTATGAAGATTCCATAGAAACCCTAGTGATGGTAGGATGTAGAAAATGCCTCTGATACCGGAGTTAAACCAAACCACGACGTAGAAATACGAGTATTATTGTGGACTTAATTAAGGATACAATGAAGAATCAAAATAAAAGAAAACAACCACACAAAGCAAAGGTGCAAGACGATTACAAACAAACAACACAACAAAGAGTACACACAATCTCGATGAGTAGGAACTCCGAAGTGGAGGTATAGAGCTGGCGGCTGCTATGAAGGCTGGACGGCGGAAGAGAGTAGATGGGGGAAGTATCTTGCTGCTGTTGAAGGGGGAGGATGGTGAGAGCAGTAAGAAAGCGATAGTAGAGTCGTTGAACCGCAGCTGGAGGAAGAAGACAACATCGTTGGCGGCTGAAATCTGGCTGAGCAGGGAATGGAAGCCTGCTGGAAGCAGGGAAAAAGCTGGTCAGCCTGCTGGAGGCAGGGAGGAGGGTTGCAGCCTGCTGGAGGCAGGGAGGGAGGGCTGCGGCTTGCTGGGAGGAGGGCGGCAAACTGCTGGAGTAAGGGAGGAGGGTTGTGACCTGCCAGGAGGAGGGCAAAAACATGCTAGAGGAAGGACGGTAGAGAGTGGGGCCTGCAGGATGCAGGGAGGAGGCTGGGCGGCAGCCTGCAGGGATTTAGGGAGGTGTCTAGCATACGTTCACAGGTAAGAGCTGCTTGCGGTTGTTGGGGAGAGGTAGAAGCGGTGGTGGCCTTCTGTGGGGCTGGGAGTTGGGCTGACAACAGCAGGAAAGGTAGAAGGACAAATAAACATCTCGACCGGGTCGAGCTACAGTCGGCGTACCACCTGAACTCATGGAGACAATCACCACCTCGGACGAGGGACAACCGCAACACTTCTTTGCCGTCGGATTCAACCCTCGAAGGGGAAAACAGGATGTCGGCGACTATCTAAGAAACGCTGAATTCTCAAGTCACAAAAAAAACCCTTTACTAAGCAAAAACAGCCCCTATATATAAGAGGGATTAGGACTTATATTAGACAATGCTTTCAATTGGGAAATAGAATAAAAATAAAGTAATATAATAGACAGGGATTTATAATAGGGGATTTCATGAAAAAGAAAAGAAATATTATGAGGGAAAAGTAAACAAAAGAATGAGAGGTAATTCAGAAATTTGAGGTTGGCACAATAAAAATCCAAGAAAAAAAGGAATCAGAAGGTGTTGACCTCACTTTTGGTTGAGTTCTAGTTTTCTCCTCTTTAGTAGCCTAGGGTCTAGCCATAGGACTTTTCTATTGACTATTCCTAGAAAACTAGAAAAGGAAAAGGAACTCTCACCATTTGAAACTCTAAACCATTCTTTGCTCAACTTGAAGCTCTGCATATTGGTCATGACCTCTAGCAATTAGTAGGTGTGGTCAATATAGGGGAGCTCAAGGTGAAACCCCATATGAATGCTTGGGCTTAGGATTGGCCATGGAAGTTGGTCTGGAGTTAATTCACTCACTTTCACTCTCATTCACTCACAGCCCTGAACCCAAACTTGTTGACTTTGATCCCTTAATCCTTTGGGAAACTCATGTAGATGGTCTTCTAGACCCTTCAGCCCTAGGCTGACGTTTAGCTAGCACCAGTACATAGAGGACCCAAATGGAGATTCCATTGGTCCGTGGCTCAAATCATCATGGTTGGCACCTCGATTTCACCAAAATACCCAACTCAACCTTTTGTCCCCAAAATCAATTTGGACTCTTCAATTGAACTCAATTTGATCCCAATTTCTCTCAATTTCAATTCTAAACTCAAATTCATCATGAACAAACTCAATCCAAACCAAATCCAAGCCTAATTGACCCATGCTTTTAGCTCAATTTTGATCCAAGTCAGATCCAAGTCAAACCCCCAATTTAACCCCCAATTTTGGCCCTATGACCTAATCTCACATAATTGAACCTCATAGCCTACTCAATTTGCACCAATTTAAATCCTAAACTCTTTATAACAATCCTACACATCAAATTGGACCTTTAATTGGCCTTGGTCAAGCCTCAATTTCACTCAATTTCAACCCACATTCAAAATCCCCAAATTTACCTCAAATTGGCTATCTCTCCAAATTTTACCTAATTAAATGCCCTAACCCCAAAATTGACACTCAATTTATGTTGAGAACTCTTTATAACATTCCCCTAAATCGTTTTGAACCATCAATTTGAACCTAACCCAACCTTAGCCTAACCCAAACTCAAGTCCAACCCAACACCTCAAGTCCAACCCAACACCCAAGTTCAATCCAACACCCCAAAATTGACTAAGTGACCAAAATCCACCAAATCGAACTCCCAAACCAACTCAAAATCACTTCAAATCTTTTTTAAACCTCTCATGGCAACCGACAACAATCTACATCATCCTGATCAATTGGGCTCGAACCAAAATTTTGACAGCAATCGAGTTTTGACGTGTTTTCTACCCGATCGTCTCCAAGGTTGTCCGAACGACCTCGGAGGATGAAACATACCACGTTGACGTGTCCGGAGCATCAAAATTACCTATGAAAGACAGCCGTTTTGATATGGTTATGTTCACACACGAATTGGGAGTTTTAGATGGTAAGTATTAAAAAAAAAAAAATTTCTTTCTTTTTTTTCACTTAAATCCCTAATCTCTAAAGCCCTAAATTCCAAAATTCTTTCTCTCGCTCACGCCTCCTCCCCATCCCGTTCGCACGCCCAACCGAACTCCTCTCTCTCCCTTATCTCCTTCGCGACACAGCACAGGCGCCCCATTCCTTCTCGCGTGATCTTATCGCCTGCTCCTCTACCCTCCTCAAGTCGCCCGCATGGAGGGCCTCCTGCTCCGCTCGACTCCTTGAGCCGCACGCAACGGGTCCTCCTCTACCTCACAAAATCTCTCCCCATCTCCTCTCCCTCTGGCCTATAAGAAACCCCATCTGGAAAGGGGAGGGGTTGGCCGAAAATTTTCAGAAAATGGGTGGAAGTGCTACCAAAATTTTGGGGAAGTTGTTGTTGGAATTTTGTTGGAGCCCCACTGTTTGAAATTTTGAGTTTGAAGCATCTAGCAAGGTGACTCTTCCCCACCTCCTCCATTTCTTTCCAGATTTCTCTAATTTCTTTAATCAAGCAAAAGCTATGTTTGTTTGTTTGGGAACTACTTGCTGCTATACTATGTTTTTGGAATTCTTAAAAAAAAAGAACCATTTACTTTATCGTATTGCTACACAGAAGAAAACTGAGGATCAAACATCGGCTTCAAGATTTGAGGAAATATAAATTCTATGCAAATGTGCACTATGGCCCAGTAATTATTTCTATGCTTACAGAGTTTGTGCTTTAGTTTAGATTTAACATATGTGTTTCTGTTTCTTTGATAAGAAAACATCAGATAATTTGTCATGTGCTTTCTTTGCATGAATTTCCATGGATCCTTCCGCATTGGCTTATATGTAATGAGAATGCTCATAAAGTTCTTTGCCTTAGGGTATAAAAAAAATGTATATACTTTTTCAAACGGAACTGTGAAGATTCCTTCCGGTTTGCTTCTATGAAAATATCTGATTTCTCAGAAAGCTTTGTAGAAGCACTCTTTCTTACGGATTTGGTCAAAGCATATACATTCTTTCTTACGGGTTGGGTCACAGCATATTTCTGGAATTTAAATT